TCACAGCCCTCTGGACAGTCATTCCTTCCCCAGACTTTGTCATTCCCAGTCCTTACTCTAGCCCATACATGGTGTGTGCATGGTATATGAAGGCAGGTCTGGGAACCCCTCCTGAAGGGGAACTGAGCAGGTATGGTCCCAGTAGAACAGAATTTCTCCCCTCAATCTCTCCAGCTTGTCATCTGGTCCCACCAAATGTTGAACTATGGTCTGTTCTCTGTAATGGCTACATGAGAACTCCATAGCAGCCACTCCAGAATGAGTTTCAGTAGGCAGAACACTAGAACCTCATGATTCACAGAGGCATTCAGGGCTGGATTGACTGGTGGGAGAATCTTCTCTAGCCTCTCTGAGAACTCCTCACCATTCTCGATCATTTAGTCAGTCTGTTATAAATTTGAGCCAGAATGGGGTCCAGATAGAATAGGAGATATAGGTGAACTTCAGCTTTTTGCCTACAGGCAGGCAGAAGAAATCATGAAAGTTTATTTATATTTTTGCTAGAGGGCTTTTACTACATGTGCCTGAGCCTTGGACTTCCTAAATATAATTCCCAGTTCTGAGAAAAGTCCAAAAAGTAGAATGTGATTAATCTTAAAGGTTGTCAGGGACTGGTGGACAGTAATTTTGTTTTGATGGTGAGCAGATGTTTTGCCTTGCCAGAGGGAGGACCACCCACACATGTATGAGTGAGGGGCTGATGTCTTGTGTGGTGGAAGGATTAAGGTGTTTGGTGTGGATGTGTCCTGAAGGAAGATGATAAATCTTCCCCCCACCTTGCTCCCCACAGCCCCCACATTGTGAGGAGGAGCTGCAGGAGCCTCATGGCCCTTCATGGACTTTTCTTCCATGAATTCACTGGTTTCTCCTTTTTTTCCTGACCTTTTTAAAAAACTCACAGATAACACAGACAAACCTACCACTACTTCCATTTCAGTTTTATACTACTTTGAGTTATCTGATACACCAGATATTTTATTTAAAAACCTTCCCCATGGGATCTGCAGCTTGTTAGTGCAGTCGTCAGCCATGCTGTCATATGAACAGGGTGTGCTAGAGGCACCAGTGCACCCTGTGGACCCTGCTTAACTGTCTGGCAGGGAACATTCACACTCTGCTGCAGCAGCATTTCTGCTGCCTCTGTGTAAAATGAGAGCTCCCAGGAATGTTAGCACATGCTGGAAACAAATGCTGATGCTCCGATCTGCTAGAGCAAAACTTCTCATCCCTACCCTTCTGCTGAGACGTAGCTGAGTACTGGACCATTGCAATGGTAAGAACATACTTTGCATATAAAAACCAGTAAGAATCAGATCAGACTAAAGTAAAGTGTATTTCTTGCAGGCTATTTGTGTGCCATACTCTGGCTGGCATGATCAGTTGCCCAGCAAAGAAACATGGTTTTTTTATTAGGCGTCCCTAGTCCATGCTGGTGCAGAGAATGACAAAAAAATAGTAAGAAACATGAACTGAACTGAACTGACCTCGAAGGAAGTTGCCAATTTTCATATATAATGACAGGCTTCAATGCATCCTCTGGGATGAAGAACAGTTTAGCCTGTTCACTGTACAGGCTATGAGATGAGAGCTAAAATCCATGGAAGCAGAGCATAAGCTCCAGGATAACACTGCTGGTGAAATTCGGAGGGCAGTTGTTTGGGTGGGGATATTTTGGGGGGGAGAGGTGGGGGCGAGGCTGGATTTCTTTGTTTGTTAATTTGTATGAATTAGTGGCTTTTCTCTCTTCAAGCTCTGTTCCTCTAGTCTTAGTGGTTGCTATTCTTGTGATCTTGTTTCAGTTAATGGAAATCAAAGTGGTTACTTTTCCTGGGCTGGACTGTTGTGAGTTACATGTTTGTAAAGGTGATGCCATCCTTTTTCAGTGTGGACTCCTAGTGGCTTCCTGAAAAGCTGCAGTGGCAGATTGTCTGCAGTTAAGGGGAAGGTGTCATTTCACTGAGCAGAGGAACGTAAAAACTGTGACCTGGAATGTCAGGATAAACAGTCCTTCAAAGTCCATCAAGTTAGCTAATCATTCTCCTTCTACCACTACAGCAAACATGAGAGGATGACATCTGAGCAGTGTTCTAAATAATATGAGAGTGATACAGAGGATACTTTTTTTCACCACACACTGGAGCTTCAGTTACATGAAGATGAGTAGGGTGGAAAGACTGAGAAGCCAACAGGAAGAAGATTAATACCTAGAAATGTCTGAGGTGTTGGAAAGTGAAGTAGAAATTACAGAAATCAGTGTTCAAAGTTTAGTATTAGAAAGAAAAAAATATCAGCTTGTACTGAGAAAAGAAAAAGAAAGGATGATGAGGTATGACCCACACATAATGTCTTCATGCCACTTAAAATGCTGATGCTTTTGTGCCCAGGAGACACAGTTGTCCATGCCCAAGCTGTTGAAGGTCAGAGAACTCCACAGGCCACATGGGGCAGCAGCTCTAGTGGAGCTCATCAGCTGCATCTATTTTAAACCTTCTCTGAGAGTTGTTTCTTTCAGCCAGTTATGGGCCCATGCTCCTTCAAGATCAGTTACCTGTGCATCAGCACATTTCAGATCACAAGCAGCCTGACTCCAGAAATAGTGTGTTGATGCAAAATGACTCCTGTCCTCCAGGCAAAGCAGCAAATCAGAAGTGAGGAGAAATTGGTTTTCCTTACTCACCCCTTTAATATGCCCCTCTGATTCCAAAAAGTCTCCAGCCATGCTTTCCAGGATGGCCAATGGCAAGGCCAGGTCAGCACAGTGCCAGGTGTGTGATTTCTCTCCCTCTCCCACCTGTGCAGTTGGAATTCTGGCCCCAGGTGTTGTCTCTTCAGGAACTTGCAATGTTACCTTTCATCAGTTGAGCATTTAGGAACAAACCCTCAGGCCATAATTTCTTACAGGTGAGAGAGGAGCCCCAACAGTTTCAGGTGCTTCCAGTGCATCCTGATTCTTCCACAGCCAGAGCAGCTTTTTCATTTTGGAGGGTGATTGTAATATTTTCCAAAGGGAACAGGGAGTTTTGGCATTGAAATACGGTCCCCAAAGTTGCTGTGGAATTTACTAGTCTGTCATCAGGTTTAAAGAGGTACAGGTGGAGCTGGAAATACTTCTCCATGTTTTTACTAAGCCACAGTTGCAATACACAGATTTTTGAATTACGTTTTTGGGGTTGTTTGTGGGTTTGTTTGTTTAAAGATATATGTTCCTTAGAACAAACAAAATTCTCCTCTTTCTTTCAAGGTGTGGCAGGTAAGGATTTGTCTGGAAAGAAAGAATACCACCTATATCTTAGGAGAATATTGTGGGAAGGGAAAAGGAGTAATTTCCCTTCTTTGTTGCTCAGATATCACTGGCACTGATGAAGTTTTCACAGCTTCACACATAGAGATGATGTCTCTGAAGAGCATCACTTACAGTGACACAAGAGTCAACACAGGGTGTCATCTTTTCCTTAAATATATTTCACTGCTGCCTAGAAAACTACTTCCATATTTAGCTGTAACATAGGAGGATTCCTTGGGTGTAAACCTCAGTGTGTTTGGGAGGAGGAGGACCTCCTCCCAATCCTGAGCACTGTTGCTGCAAACACACTGATTGTGGTCAGTGCAAAGGGTTTCCTTCCCTCTGTTTTCTCACCATCTCCTTTCCTACAACTCCATTCCCCAGTAGTTTCACAGCTCCTGTGAAGCACTCCCTGTAAATAAAGAGGTGTAGACCTAGCCAGCAACCTTGAGGAACCCACAAATGTTCCTGTAGTGTGATGGAGCCAAGTTTCCCTTACAATAGTAAAAGGGTATCTGCATGCAGAATCTTCCCATGGCTGTTATGTGATGTGCCTGGGTCCAGTACTATTATTTTTTATATATATATATATGGTGGTTCCCTATTTTAAGGACTGCTTCTTGCCTTGCAGGAAACAGCCTGCTATTTGTTTAGGACTTCAGACCAGTGCACCTTGTGTAGATGTCTTGTCTCTTCTCTGTCCAGCCCAAACACAGTTGGTATCTACATTCCACTTGTCCAGTGCTACAAGAGTCAGACAGGTAGGACACAGTTTGTCATTATTATCTATGGATTTTTACCTCTGTAAGGTGTTAGATTTTATGATTTCTTTCAAGTTGTAATGTTCCCAGTATTATATCCACTTGAAGACTTATTTTGCAGGATGAAAACCATCTTTTTTAGCTTTTTGTATTTGTATATTACTCTTAATTCTTCCTTAGCACAAAAGCTCATATATTTCAGTACTGGAAACACTATACAGTAGTGCAGCTGTTCCCAGCTTTTTCTGGTGGCTCTACATGTTACACTGCTTGGGGTTTATCCTCTTGTTCACACTTCTACCAAGCTGTACATTAAGTCAAATTTCATTTACAACAGGAATATCTTGTATTAATATTGGCTATTCTGCCTTGCAGAGGAAGTAAGGCACTCCAATATCCTCTTATCCAAATAATAAATTGTTTTCCTTTGAAACTGATTGTTAACACTATAATCATAAAGTTATTAACAAGGCTGTATGACCTTTAAATTTTTTCAGTAACAAGCCACTCTCTAGAGTTACTGGCCTTCACTTGCCTTCTTCTAAGGCAGCACATCAGTTCTTGCCTAAGTTCCTCCATAAGGTCTCAGAGACATACAGATGCTTTTGGAACTACAGATGTTTTCCCTTGGGGCAATTTACCTCTAAATACCACTTGCCCAAGTGATAATGGGAACATCAATGAGAACCTCTGAGTATTGTACCCATGTAGAAACATGACTCACAAGGCAAAAACTTTTTTATACCAGGACAGAAAACATGCTTGTCTTGCCATCGACCTCATTCTCTCTAAGTATGGAAATTAGTGGAACAACACACAGTGGAGAAGTACTAAAGATGGGATAAGTAAACCTCTACTGTTATGCAAGTGTTGAAGTGAAATAAATATTTAATTTGAAAATACCCCAAATTTATGTAACTGCAGGATTGTAATGACCAAAATTACTGATTCTGTTGTGAATGCGAAGAAATCTAAGGTCTTTATTCTCTACATATCAACATGGTTATGAACACTTGAAGAAGAAAGTGACAGAGGGTTCACATTTTGTGCAGCCCTCAGGTCACTTTGCTGCCTTGTGACATCCTCACTCTTCCTCTCCTATTTTTTTGCCATGAATCTCCCGGCTCTTGGCTCGGAGCTTGTTGACCTGTGACTCTGCAATGTCAGCCCGCTCCTCGGCTTCCTCCAGCTCGTGCTGGATCTTGCGGAACTTGGAGAGGTTCACATTGGACAGCTCCTCCTGTGTGGGGAAAGGGAGTCAGGGCTCAGGAGCACAGGACAAGGGTTTCACTCCTGCTGCAAGTCAGCCTTATGGGGCTGCAACTCTCCATCTCCCTCCCACCAGTGCTCACACACCAGCCTCACACAGAGCTCCTCATCCTCCCCTTTTCAGGACCCTACTGGGACAAGCTTCACCAGGACTGTGTCACCCCTTTGATTTGTCATTTCTGTACTTATTCCCCCACTTGTTTGGTGCTCAGGTGCCGGGTAGGGGATGTGGGGGTGTGGGTATACCAGGATTACAAAATCCCCCTCCTCAGCTGATGATTTTCAAAATTTCTGATATTCCTCTCTGGGACACCTGTGTGACACCCACAGGAAGAAATGCTTTTTTATTTCCCCAAGCAATACTCACAGCTTCTTCAGCTTGTCTCTTGTAGGATTTCACTTTCATTTGTAGCTTGTCCACCAGATCCTGCAGCCTGAGAATATTCTTCCTGTCTTCCTCAGACTAGAGTGTTGGCAAAGTGGGAAGAGTAAATTATTGCTTTCTGCACACCACAATATAGCATTTATCCCTGGAGTCTATGAGAACATCTTTTGTTTGATCAAATAAGGGTGCATCAGCCCAAGGAGCCCTCCTGCCTTACCTGGTAGGTCAGTTCCTTCACTCTCCGCTCGTACTTGCGCACGCCCTTCACGGCTTCAGCGCTGCGCTTCTGCTCAGCATCAACCTCCCCTTCCAGCTCCCGCACCTGCAAGGACAAACCCATCCCTGCAGCTTCCCTGACAATGTCTCTGCAAGGACACGCTCACTCAGGCACAACCCCAGCCCTACACACCCTGGCCTCCAGCTTCTGGATCTGCTTCTTCCCTCCCTTCAGTGCCAGCTGCTCAGCCTCATCCAGACGAAGCTGCAGGTCCTTCACTGTCTGGTCCAGGTTCTTCTTCATCCTCTCCAGGTGGGCACTGGTGTCCTGCTCCTTCTTCAGCTCTTCTGCCATCATGGCCGCCTGATCAGAGCAAAGGGTCAAAGCCATTTTGGGGCTGGACATATCTGGAGGAGACTACATTCATCATTGGCAATGCCAGGAGTGCCCAACTCACATCTGTGATGGCCTTCTTGGCCTTCTCCTCAGCATTGCGGGCTTCCTGGATGGTATCCTCCATTTCACTCTGGATCTGGGCAATGTCCGTTTCCAGCTTCTTCTTGGTGTTGATCAGGCTGGTGTTCTGTTGAATAGTACCGTTTTGTGCAGTTATTCCCAAAAGGGAACAATTTTTTTAAGAAATTCACTTCAGCATCTTCCTGACATATCTTGTCAGGTCATACACAGCTAGATAGCAGAGAATTATTGTACTTTGAAGCCGCTCTTCTGATTGCTAATGCAGTCGTACTCATTTTGCCATAATCCATTTCTTTCTACCAGTGCAATAATTCTGGTTCCGATAAAGTATTTTATTACAGGAGTTGATTTAGGAATTTACACAGAATAAAATCTGCAAAGGAAGAAAAAGGCCCATGAGATTTTGAATCTAACCTGGGTGTGGAGGAGCTGAACTCTCTCACTTGCATCCAGAAGCTCCTGCTCAGCCACTTTCCTCGACCTCTCCGTCTGCTCCAGGGCTGCCCGGAGCTCCTCAATTTCAGCCTGCAGCAGGTTTGCTCTGCGCTCCACCATGGCCACCTGCTCCTTCAGGTCATCCTGTGTCCTGAGAGCATCATCCAAGTGTATCTGGGTGTCCTTTAATAGAATAAAGAGAAATTATAAGATGACATAGCACTGTAGCACAATAGCCACCAGTCCTATAGTTACGATGGCATTATAATATATATAAGTATAAATTTTCATGTGGACTTATTGTCACTTAATGCACAATGCATTAGAAAAGCCACTAGGAGATTGATTCATGGGCATCTGGGACAGCTGAAGAGTAAGGCCAAGTCCCTTAATTTTAGGAGAGTGGACTTAGAGATGTTCAAGGAATTTTTGGATGGAACCCCCTTGAGAATCTCTCCTCAAGAATAAAGAAATAAAAAGAGATCAGAATGTTTTTTCTAGTGCACAAGAGCTCTCAATTCACATGTGTAAGCAATCAGACAAGAGAGGCAGGAGATCAGCATAGCTGAGCAAGGACCTCCAGGACAAACTGAAGTGTAAGATGGAAATGCAAAGGAGGTAGAACAAGTACCAAATGTCCTCAGAAGACTATGGAGATGCTGCCAGGATGTGAGGGGATATGATTATGAAAGCCTAGGCAGAGCTGGAGCTGAATTCTTGTTTATTAAGTTTTTGTGTGGCCTCAAACTGAGTATTGCATGCAGTTCAGGACTCTTAAATTAATGAGAGTTATTGAGGGACTGGAATGTATCAAGAGGACTGCAGCAAAGCTAGTATTGGACAAAGTAAACCCATAAGCTCTTATTTTTAGTGTAACGTACCTTGAGCACTCCCTGTGTATTTCTCAGGTTCTTCTGTGCCTCTGCAGCCACACGGTTGGCATGGCTCAGCTGGATCTCCATCTCATTCAGGTCTCCCTCCATCTTCTCCTCAGGGCTTCATTCCTGCTCCTGATCTCAGCATCCAGAGTGCTCTGCATGGAGTCCACAATTCTGAGGTGGTTCCTCTTCATCTGGTCAATCTCCTCATCTTTCTCTGCTATCTTCCTGTCAATCTCAGACTTCACTTGGTTGAGCTCAAGCTGCAGGCGCAGGATCTTCCCCTCCTCATGTTCCAGGGAGGCCTGGAAGAGTGGATGCAAACATTGATAAAATCAAAAATATTTCCAGAAATCTCAGCTGTCTGCACTCCCCAGGCAGTACAGAGGAGAATCCAAGCCTTTTCAGCCCTATTTCCTCATTTATTTACTGCAGATTCCAGTGATTATGGTCATGTACCTCAGCTTCCTCCAGAGCAGCCTGGATTTCAGATTTTTCCTGCTCAATCTGCTTCTTCACTTTCTCCAGCTCATGAATTGCCTTTCCTTGCTCCGCAATCTGCTCGGTGAGGTCGGAAATCTCCTCTGCAAGGAAGGGTGAAAAGCAGCATGGTCAGGCAGAGAGCTGAATGGAAAAAGGCTCTATTGCACCAAGGGGCCAGGCATGTTCTTAACCTGAAATCCCAGAGCCCTTAAGTGTGGCAGATGGAGGAGTTTTTGAGAAAGGCCAGTGAGGGGAGCAGAGGGCCAGGGACTTACGCTGCAAGTTCTTGTTCTCCCGCTTCATTGTTTCCAGGTGGTCCAAGGACTCCTCATAGGCATTCTTCATCTTGAACAGCTCTGTGCTCAGAGAGCGCGACTCCTTCTGCGAGGCCTCCAGCTCAGCCTGTGTTTCCTCATACTTCTGCTTCCATTCTGCCAGGATCTGAAGAGAAACGGGGTGTGAGTCAGGCTGTGGCCATCACAGGGGCATGCTCTGGCCAGGAGTGCTGGTGCTGGAGGCCAAAAGACCTTGTCAAAGTTCTTCTGCTTCTTATCCAGAGCAGCACAGGCAGCATTGGATCTCTCCACATCAATCATCAGGTCCTCCACTTCATTCTGCAGCCTCTGCTTTGTCTTTTCCAGGGAGGCACATTTGGCGTTGACAGCCTCAACATGTTCCTCTGCATCCTGCAGACGCTGGGCCAGCTTCTTCCTGGGAGGATAGAAGCACAGTGCCACGTTACAGCTTGGAAAGGAGTCAGTTCTACAACCTCATAAGAGGGCAGTTTGTCACATTGAGGGTTTTGAGCCAAGCACTTTTCTCACATAGAAAAGGATCTATTCTTTGCTGTGTCCAGTCACCTGTGGAGGATTACGCTTGTCTTAGCATTTCTAAAGCCTGTTTTCCCTTTCAATCTACACTTTTTCTCTCCCTCCCTAGCTCTCTTTTTTTAACAAAGACAGTATATTGTTGCCTTCATCTCCAATTTCCTTTGACCAGTTTCCATCTTCTCCCATCATTTTTCATCCTGCTTCCCCACGTACTTGGCCTCCTCGAGCTCCTCTGTGCGCTGAATGGCGTCTGTCTCGTATTTGGTTCTCCACTGAGCCACCTCGCTGTTGGCCTTGGACAGGGCTCTCTGCAGCTCCCCCTTGGCCTCCTGCTCCTCCTCATATTGTTCCCGGAGCAAGTCACAGTCGTGGCGAGCGGACTGCAGGGCGTGGGCCAGGGCATTCTTGGCCTAGACAGAGAGTGGGGAAGGGTCAAGGAATGGTAATATCCCAGGAAATCTCTTCCAATGAATTATTTCACACTACAAACATGACTGCTGGAAGAGTGTTTGCAATGAAGGATAGATGTAAGCCTGGAGGACAAAATCCATTAATCAAACTTGTAGCATAAAAAAAGCCTTCCCCTAGGATGGCTTGTGCTAAACTGATCCTGTCCTTGCAAGGCAGTGAGAAGCTACAAGTGTTCTCAGGGGCCAGTGGTAAGAAAATAAGAATAACCTTAATTTCTTCCTCTAGATGCCTCTTGAGTTCCTCAATCTGTTGAGTGAAAGCCTGTTTGCCTCTTGACAGTTGAGAAATCAGAGCATCTTTCTCATCTACCTGGCGTGAATATTCACCTGGGGAAGCACACAAATAATACAATCTAATTGTCATTTATGATCTAAACAAATGGTTTAGGAGACATGCCAAAACATATGAGAGTCTCACTCACCTGCTTCTGTCTGCAGACGAGCTCTTTGAGTATTGAGGTCATTGATCATGCGCTGATGTTCTTCTTCCTTGGTCTTAAGCTCACTGAGCTGATCTTCCAGTGTGCGGCACATCTTCTCCAGGTTGGCCTGTGGAGATCACAGGGAATGAAAGGAGATTTATATCTAGATGCCTTCTTGTTCTAAACAGTAGGATTCTAGCCAGAAAAACGTGAACAGACTTGAAAGTTATTGTCTGCTCCTTAGAGTTAGAAGGTTAGAAATAAGTTCCCTAAAGAGACAGGGAGTTAGAAGTTGAACTGGTCATTATTTTAAAGGATATATTTCAACGTTATTTATTTTCATGTTGTTTTCATATTTTTCCAAACCTTGGCTTTGGAGACAGATTCCATGTTGCTGGCCAAGTCATCAATCTCCATCTTCATCTCACTCTTCTCCTTCTCCAGCTTCTGCTTCACACGTTGCAGGTTGTCGATCTGCTCCCCCAGCTCAGCGGTGCTGTCCGCGTGCTTCTTGCGCAGGGCGGCAGCCGTGGCTTCGTGCTGCAGCGTGGCCTCTTCCAGGTCCCGCCGCATCTTCTGGAACTCTGCCTCACGCTTCTTGTTCATCTCCACCTGAGCTGCTGTGGCCCCTCCTGCTTCCTCCAGCCGCTCACTGATCTCCTCCAGCTCCCTGGACAGGTCAGCCCGATGCTTCTCTGCTTTAGCGCGAGAGGTTCGCTCTGCCTCAATTTCCTCCTCCAGCTCCTCAATGCGCGCCTGCAGAACAGGAGGGACCCTTCACACCCGTGCCCTCCTCCTGCCTGAGCTGAGCCTGAGCAAGAGAGGGGAAGGAACAGAGACTTGCCTGCAGCTCCTTGATTTTCTTCTGAAGTTGCATGCCCAAGGCTTGTTCATCCTCAATCTTGCTCTGGATCTGGCTGATTTCAAAGTCTTTCCTTTGGACCAAGTGAACCGTGTTAGAGCTCAAAGGAAGAAGACAAGTGGTCCAGCCCAGTACTCAGGAGCCCCAGAGCCACACTTACTTCTTCAGTTTCTCATCCAGCTGCTGCTTATCATTCTCCAAATCCATGATGCTGTCCTGGGCCAGCTTCAGGTCTCCTTCCAGTTTCCTCTTTGCTCTCTCCAGGTCCATGCGCAGTTTCTTCTCTTGCTCCAGGGACCCTTCCAGCTGAACACAACAAGACCTTCAGTGCTCTACCAGCCAGCTCAGGCTCCATACCTGTCCTGTTCCTGCTCTGTGTCTGTGTGCTTACATCATCCACTTGCTGTTCCAGCTTGATCTTGGCTTTGGTCAGAGTATTGACTTTGTCCTCCTCTGCCTGCAGATCATCCAGGGTCTGCTGATGGGCCTCTTGGAGGGCTTTCTTCTCTTTGGTCAGCTTGGCGATGGTCTCATCCAGGGCTGCCATCTCCTCAGTCAGGTTTTTCACCTACAAATATAAGCATGTTTTAAAATCTGGAAGAAAATCTGTTCTCTGGTTTTGTGTTTCATTTATCTCTTGGATGTTCAAAGAACCCCAACTCAAGATTTTCCAAAGCCAGGATGTCTTTTGTTAAGTTGCCTTTTACTCTGAGACTCTGTAATGTCCTGACCCTTATGTGACTGCCAATGTGTGTACCTTGTTTTCTGTGGCGTGTTTTTCCTTCTCCACCTTGGCCAGTGTTAGCTCAAGGTCATCAATATCTTTCTTCAGCTCTGAACATTCATCCTCCAGTTTCCTCTTCTTGGCTGTCAGCTCCTCAGCCCTTTCAGTCACCTCCTTGACTTTGGCTTCCAGCTGTATTTTGGTTTTGATGAGCTGGTCACACCTTTCCTCAGCATCAGCCAAAGCATCAGCTTCCTGGTGAGAAAATACAGAAAATATTATTTAATAGTGAAGGAACCAATATGATTGGTAAGATTTTCACAATTACTTTTGGGGAAAAAAGTATGTCTAATTACCTTAGAAACTACGAATCTTGAATAAGTTTTTAGTTTATTTTTTTCTTGTTGGACCTTTTACATCATTAATAGAGCTCTGTTTAGCTGAATTTCATTTCACCCTGTTTATTTTGAGTATATCAGAAAGTCACTTAGATTTAATTAATATTTTCTTTTTCTCCTTTAGAAAGTGGTTCTATATTATTATACACTAAATTCAAATTTATGTGGAAGTGTTGAGAAATGTAATTAACTCTACCACTGAGGAAATATTTGAAACTTCCATTAGTAGCTTTATACTCAGCCAATACTGTTAGTGAACAATAGAATAAGATTCTTTCCTTGAAACAGACGTTTTAACTCAAGAGCAATGCCAAAGTGTTTTTTATGGTTTTGGAAGGCAAAAAGACATTGGAGACAGACATATGGAGATGGTGCTTATGTTGTAAGTTGTAATGGGCATATGTGTCTTCTGGGAGTAGTAGGTATGGGAGGTGAGGTGAGATCTGCTATGAGAAATGGTAATCAGTTCTTCATTTTGACAACTGAGTTAAGGAAGAGCAGTAGGTCAATCAAACAAGTCTCTGCTCCACTAGATACACTGCTGTGACTACAGTAAAGCTTTATGTCTCACGTAATGTCTCTCATATGGCTTTATGAACCCATATGGAAACATGTAGGTATGAAGACTAAAAACTCATACCTTTTAAACTCCAGCTCACAATAGGAAGATTGAGTGGAGAAAGAATATGACCTTAATTTTACCTTTAGGTACATGGTATTTGGCTTAAAGTATTTTAGAAACCTTAGTATGTAATTTTAGAGACCTGTATTAGGAAAGAAGAGTTAGATCTTATTAATTCATAAAAGCATAGGAAAATGTTACTCACAGCCTGTACTTGGAGCTGCAGGTCATTTTTCTCCTGCACAAGTTTCACCATTTTCTCCTCCAGCTCCTTCCGCTTTGCCTCAGACTTTGCAAGCTCCTCCTTGGTTTTCTCAAACTCTTCCTTCATGTTGGCCATTTCCTTCTCAGACTCTGCACTCTTCAGCAAGGGCTTGATCTTGAAGAACAGCTTCATCCATGGCCAGTGTTTGACATTCATGAATGCACGAATGTTGTACTGGATGCAGAAGATGGACTCCCTGAGGCACAATTGAAAAGTACAATGAGTACTCTCAGTCTGGCAAGTATCAACACTTTCCCAAGAGCAAAATTACTTGAACTGAAGAAGACAAAGGTGTACCTGCGCTCCACCATTCTCTGGTACTCCACCCTCGCCAGGAAACCCCTGCACCTGGCCTGGGTGCGGGTGATGAGCTGTGCCAGCTTCTCATCCCTCATCTCCTCCAGGAGTCCCAGCAGCCCAGCTTTGAAGAACACCTTGAGAAAGGGAATGTTGCAGCACATCACTGTCAGGTAGAGCAAAGCCCAGGGATGCAGTGAATGGGGGAATTTGTACCTTGGTGTGTCCAAATTTGTACTGGGTGTGGTCCACATCGATTGAGCCAAGGAGCTTCTCAGAAGCCTTCTTGCTGTCAATGAACTGTCCCTCGGGGATGGCACTGGCATTAAGCACCTTGTATCTGTGGAATCAGAGAAAATAGGAGGAAGACAATATCCACTTATAAGATTGTTCCATTTACTGAAACCATGAGCAGTGTTTGCAGCAGAATCAGACTGAGGAAGCTGGAATTTCATCCCTCCATACTCAGAGACCATGACAAACTCAGCTGTCTGATGGAGAGCAGTTGGTGAGGACACCTGACTTACCTCTTCATTTCATAGCTCTCACCTCTGTTTGAAGTCAGCATAGAGGACTCTGCTGGGGAAGCCTTTCCTGCAAATCCTGATCCCTTCCAGCACGCCGTTACAGCGCAGCTGGTGCAGCACCAGCTCGTGCTCCATGGCACCTGGCAATGCAGAGCACAAATGAATGGCACAGATTGCAGTGCAGAGGGGAATGGATGGATCAGAGCAAGGATCTTCCTGCCTGAGCAGCTTACCAGGTGTTTTAGTCTCATTGGGGATGATACAGCGCACAAAATGGGGGTGAGTGCTCCGCAGATTGGTCATCAGCTTGTTGAGGTTCTCCTGAGGGGCCATACATAATAGCTTAGATGAAAGAAATTACTTGTGCATACTTTGTACATAGATGGCAAGGAACTAATATAATAAATCTTAGGAGAAAGAAGCTTTAAAATTCAAAGTTTAAATTTAATCAAACCTATATATTTTTTATTAAAAAGTATTCTCAATAAAAAAAAAAATCAAATTCTTCACCTTATTTTGGAGGAAGTAAAACAGTACTCTATAAATATTTTAACACAAGCCTTTTGGGGATAAATATTTATATTACATGACAGATTCTGAAAAATATTTTACACAAAAAATGTGAGTGAACTTTTGTAAGAAATTTAGAGAGTCAAATGAAGACTGAATCCTAAATTTGAACAGAAAATCACTATGAAAAGCTTCATACTTAGTATTGCTTCTTTAGAAAACCAATGCCAAAATTCAAATCTAAGTGTATTTATCTCAGTTTTGACACTATGTTCATATCACTTCATAGAAAATTAATCCATACTTTACCCGGAAAAGAGCTGAGACAGTCTGGAAAGAAGAACCCTTCTTCTTGCCTCCCTTCTTGCCACCACCACCACCACCACTGGCCTCTTAAAAAAAAAAAAAAACAGTATATTTTTTTTTTGCTGCATCTTTACATATCCCAAATATTGAAACAGAATATTTAGAAAAATTACCTGCTTCTGCTCCACCATAAGAAGCAAAAAGTAAAGCCAGGGTCTTCACAGATGATTTCTGGTACAGCCCAATGACAGTTTCATTCAGAGGGTCCTTGTTCTTCTCCAGCCAGCCAGTGATGTTGTAGTCCCAGGGAGAAGTGAGCTTCAGCCTTGCCTTTGGCAGGCTTGGGCTTCTGGAAGTTGCTGGACTTGCCCAGGTGCTGGTCATAGAGCTTGTTCTTGAAAGAGGTGTCAGTTGCCTTGGGGAACATGCACTCCTCTTCCAGGATGGAGAAGATGCCCATGGGCTGGAAGATAGTTCAATAAACAAGAGAGAATGCCTGTAGAATATATGATTACGTCTTGGTCTCAAAGGGAATGTACTAAAAGACAGAAAGCTGAAAAACAAGCTTTGCCATGTAGATTTATTTCTAAAATGTGAATTTAAACCTGCTTGATTTACACTTTGGCTTTGATTCAGGAAAGTTTTCTATCCCAAAGACCATGTTAAAGTTTACGAGAACAATGAATATATTTAAAAGTATTTTTTACAGAACTGTCCGTTTCATATTTACTTGTTTTTGAATTAAAAATCAGTGCTCTAAACTATATGGAGCTACAAGGTATCTCCATTTCTTCCTCTCAGAGGTCAGGCAATGTTCTTACTTTGCTGTGAACTATACAGAAAAAATGTGTTTTTCAGGTAACTTTATTCTAGAACCCTAAGAAAATGTTTTCATTTTAATATACGGAATGCCCTTTGTTTTTCAAGTTAATATCCTTTAGCCAAGCAAAAGGAGATACCTTCTAAGTACAGAATGTGTGGGAATGACTTCTGTAGTTTTCTGTGGACTTTGTAACATCTCTAATGCATAATTAGCGATTGTACAGGTCAATACGTGTTTTTACAATTAAATCCAAATACAAGAATCTAACCATGGGAAATTTAAAGCAATGGGTTCTTGAAAATGGAAGACATCTTGAATTAAAATCTCACCTTCTCAATGAGCTCAATGCAGGCAGCCAGGTCCATGCCAAAGTCAATGAATGTCCATTCAATCCCCTCCTTCTTGTACTCCTCCTGCTCCAGCACGAACATGTGGTGGTTGAAGAACTGACGAACATGTGGTGGTTGAAGAACTGTTGCAGTTTCTCATTGGTGAAGTTGATGCACAGCTGCTCCAGGCTGTTGAACTGCTCAGTGGAAAAAATACACAACAACCAACCCTCATCCATTTGCCCACTTCTTCATCAATCTCCTCCACTCTTCATAAATTTCCCCAGTTAAAAAACAGCTGTATTGTCAGGACCACACCATAACAGAACCTATATGCAGCTCCAGAAATATCTACATAATGAAAATGAGGGGTTTTTTTTTGTAGCAGATTTTTTTTAGCAAATCTCCTAAAATTAATAAAATACTTTGGCATATTTTATTCAGCAAAAAAAGGTGAGTGGATGCTCTTGTCTAAAAATTGAAAACCCTTGATATCTCTGATTAAACACATAACTATGCATTCATTGGTTCTTTCAACAATTTGAACATCTCTAACTCATTATATATTTGCCAATGCATCTCCTAGTTCTGCTCCAGAAGCTCTTTTATAAATTTATTTGAGTTATTTAATTCTTAACATTAAGCTCAAATAGTTGTAATAGTATAACATATAAAATTCTATATGCTGCTTCTGCACAAATAACATGACTCTGTGCTTGTACTGATGGAGCTTTTGAGGATTTTGTTTTCTGCTATAAAAGAAAATGACTGGGGTTTTTTCTGCATAAAATCACAAAGGACTAGCATATTAAACCTACAGAGGAATGTTAATTGCAAGTCCTCTGATATATCCTTCCCTTCAAGAACAACCCTCAAACCTGAAATCCTTACATCAAAGATCTCAAAGCCAGCTATGTCCAGGACACCAATGAAGTACTGCCTGGGCTGCTTCGTGTCCAGCTGTTCATTGATGCGAACAACCATCCACAGGAACATCTTCTCATAGACAGCCTTTGCCAGGGCACCCACTGAATTGTACACCTAAACCAAAGAAGATTGGAGCAGAAGAAATACAATATCCAGAGCAAACAGTACCTGATTCAAGTCAGGTTCCCAGTCACCAGCTGGTTGTTGTTACCTGCTGCACAGTTTGGCCCTTGGTCACGTATTCATTCCCCACCTTGACGCGGGGGTAGCAGAGGGCCTTGAGCAGATCTGCTGAGTTCAGACCCATCAGGTAGGCAGCCTTGTCAGCAACTAAGTACAAAGATAAGAAGATAGAAAAATTTAGGCTAGCAAGACATGCAGCACTTTGAGTGATGAACCCTTTCCAAAACAGCTCAAATATTTAATGTTCTTGTGATCAGATTTTGCTTACTGGACCTCAGAGAATAATTATTCAAATTAAATCATCTTTGCATTAAATGTTTTACAGAGCAGTATACTTAAAGGCTATGTGTCTTTAAAAATCTTCACAGAAACATCTAGAAACAATGTATTTATTAAAAATTAATCCTGGAATTCATGAGTAATTTTGCCCTAAAAAGTGATTTATGATGTAGAAGTTCTATAACTAATAATAATACAGTTATTTTCTTTAACTATCAAACAGAAACAATTTTTTTTTTTTAAAAATATCTTTTCTTTCTCAGTGGGTCTAAGCACACTGAGCAAGTTATGCTAATTCAGAGTGTTAGCTCAGAAGAGGTTTTTGGATATATATTTGATAATAGTTGGACATATAGTTGGTAATGCAGATAATGATGAGCAGTAATTGAAGAAAGAGTGTGGTGGTTTCATAGCTATGTACCATCTCACCTAAACACACTTCTACTCCATCTTCCAAATATGTAATTATTGCCTATTATTCTATTTCTAACAGGTCTGACAAAGATTTTGCTGGTACCTTCAGTGCCATCAGGCTCTGCCTGCTCCTCTCGTTGTTTCTGCTTGAACTTCAGGTTCCCGTAGTGCATGACAGCCCCTGTCAGCTTGTAGATGGCTGTTTTCTCATCAGCACTGAAACCCAGGATGTCAATGGCACTCTGTAATAGGAACAGTAAAATAAAAGCTTTGCCTGGGAGATGACAGTAGTTACAATACTCTGAATCGCTACTTACGTCTGTGGCCATCAGCTCCTCCTGGTCATTAATGCTGGCGACAGTGATCTCGCCTTGACTCACAAATTGGTAGTCATATGGGTTGGTGGTGATGAGGAGCATGTCTGAAAATAATAGGATGGGTCATGTAGGCTTAGTTTAGTCAAGCAATAATGAGAGCTGAATTCAGCAGTCTTCCTCCAAGTTAATAATTCTTCCTACCAATTAGCTCTGGCTTCTTGTTGGACATGATCTGATAAAAGATGTGGTAGCTCCTTTCCGCTTTGAGCTGGAAAGTGACTCTGGACTTCTCCAGCAGATCTGGAGGGAAAAAAAAAGTAAAGAGAAGACTGGAAGAAAACAGGAAAGATAGTATTGATGGTGGGGCGAAAATATGTTGTGTGGATAGATGGGGGACTGGATGGATTGTGAACTGCTCAGAAAAGTGTCTTACATGTTTCAATATCAGCAGAAGCCAGTTTTCCTGTGGCACCAAAATGGATTCTGATAAATTTGCCCTTTAAAGGAATAAAAGTGTTTTAAGATTTACAACATAAAAAGTATATCTGAAATGAAGACTATTGCCATTTATTCCACTGGGCACAATATTCCTACTTAAGAGACATTTTTTTAAAATCAAATGTATTTCCTCCACTAACATAAAGTTGTCTTTTTCATTTTTGACCATGAAAATAATCTGCAGTGGCACAGCTGTATTTTATGTGTGCTGAGTGTATAAACGTGAAGGAATGTGTGAAATTCATTAGACAAATTATTCTTACTATATCCTGCACACAGAAGTTACCTTAAAGATACATAAATAGCAATTTAAGTAGTTCACTACTCAAATCTGAATTATGATCTAATAAACAATTTCACTTCTGATTAACTAAATCTGAAAAACAGCAGATATATTATTCAGTTAGAAAATATATATTCCCACCTCTTTCTTTCCTTCTTTCCCATCTCTCCTAGCCTCATTCCCTTTTTTCCTGTAACTCTGTCTGCCTCTCAGAAAATGACAAGAAATGTAAGTAAAAATAAACAGACTTATTTTTTAACATTACAATATTTTCTAGGAAGAAGACCATTTGACCTGGTATTTTTAATTACATTTTAAAGTACAATAAAATTAATTTTTTCTGTTTTGAAATCTGAAGAATGATCTTTAGAATAAGTGGCAAAGGCATAGTAAGAAAAGTTGGTTTTACTCTTGAAATCATGATGGCTGAACAATGGAAAAAATAACTAACATAAAGTCCTAAAGTCCTGTTTACTATGTTATAGACATTGTTTTCTTAAGCAACTCACAAAGCGTGAGGAATTGTCGTTCCTCACGGTCTTGGCGTTTCCAAAGGCCTCCAGCAGTGGGTTGGCGCTGATGATTTGATCCTCAAGCGTTCCCTGCTCAGAGATAATTACTGCTAGTTATCCCTTCCAAACATCCTGGCAGGAACAGATGAAAGCATTAATCCCACCATTTGTCCACTAACTCACCTGCATTTTGCCTGATGTCTGCTCCTCCTTCTTCTTGTCCCCACTGGCTGCAATTGTTGCAAAGTACTGGATGACACGCTTTGTGTTCACAGTCTTCCCAGCACCGGATTCTCCGCTGCCCAAGCCAAGAGAGAAGCAGAGGGTGCGTGGTCAGGCAGGAGGTCCCCTGGCACCGGGCAGCCCCGCAGGGACCCGCGCAGGGGGTGTACGTACGTGATCAGGATGGACTGGTTCTCCCGATCTGTGAAGAGACAGAAATACAGTACTTAAAAAACAACAGAGAAGGAATGAAACACAGTCAGGTAAGCTGAATGTTTTGCTTGATGTCAGCTTGACTTAAACAAGCAAACCTCCCAAAGCACGTCACTGAGTGCAGAGGTGTCTTCCATTTAAAACAGTAGAAACAATGCTATGAAGATAGTAAACCTCACAACAGATGTGTGTGTCAGAACCAAGAAAGCTTTGAAAAAGTCTCTTCACTTTGCTGAGACAGAGAATCCCTTCAGAGATTTCAATGGCCAATGCCTCTGAGGCAATCAGAGGCACTCACCAGTCAGCATGAACTGATAGGCGTTGTCAGAGATGGAGAAGATGTGTGGAGGAGCCTCCTGGCGCTTCTTGCCTCGGTAGGCCAACACCACCTCGGGGTTGTACACCGGCAGCCACTTGTAGGGGTTGACAGTGACGCAGAAGAGACCCGAGTAGGTCTGTGAGGAAGGGACACAGCATGTTGGCTTCCCCTGAGCCTGGCCCAGCACTTGCTGAGGCTGCCCAAAGGAAGCTGCTGCTGCCACTTACGTAGATCATCCAGGCTGCGTAACGCTCTTTGAGGTTGTACAGCACAGCGGGTTCGTGGAGGTGGGTCATCATGGCCATGTCCTCGATCTTGTCATACTTGGGAGGGTTCATGGAGAAGATCTGGTCATCCTTCACAGTCAGGGTCTGTCAGAGTGCAGGAAGGATACACATGTCAGCTAAGAATCCAGAGTGGGGATCAAATGTTGTCCTTCATCCTTGTTTTTGACTCACCTCTCCCCCTTCAGTCTTGACAGTGACTTTGCCTGATTCTCTGCTTGTGACTGTCCCTTTCACAAAGGATTCCTTTGCATGAACCACAAAGACAGATGACTTGGCATCAAAAGGTTTGTTCTGGGCCGCAATTCTCTCCTTCTCTGACTTTCGGAGGTAAGGAGCGGCCTCCCCAAAGATGGCCATCTCAGAATCCGAAGACATGGCTGCACCTTATGGAGGGCTTGTCAGCAGAGAACTCTGTGGAAGAGCAGATAGGTTGCTCAAATTTGCCAAAAAGTTAGCACTTGTTAGGAGAAGAAAAATTGTGGAAAAGAAACAATATTATTACTGCTTGTTGCTTTTTGGAAGGAATAGAAAATTTTTGAATTGATTGGTACAATTCAAGATTTATGAAAAACGTCATATTTATCCCAACACTATATATTGGGGGGTTATTTGGCTTATACTGAAATCACATTTAAATAATCTATAGACATGAGTTCATCTCTTCAGGCACTGTATTGTAGAATTAAGAACCTCAAAAATCCTTTCAACTGCTTAGGCACTCTTAAAATTAATTTGGAATTATTATAATGCTCTTTCCTCACAATGGATAGTTTGTCACAAAGCTCAGAATGCTCATACTCCACCGTCTGAATTGCATACTGAAAACTCAAGCTTCTTAAAGGCTCAGTTTCAGTATTTAAAACTTTTTTATAATTGTATCAATAATACAATTTTCTCTAATTTTATTAACAGCTTGAATCCAGACATAAATTGCAACATGACTGTTAAAAGAAGATTAATACTGTTCAAACCACGCTGAGATAGCTCCTTTCCTAGTACTTTGTTTTTTAAAAATTAGGAGGATTTTAGAGAAAAACAAAGTTCAAAGCTTTAAAGCTCAAATGAAGTATTTAAAAATAAGGAATTTTAAAGCCTGTATTAATTTCCCTGAAATATTTTATTTTTCCCCCTGCCTCAAGGGGGAAAAAAACCAAAACCAAACCCCTAAGTGGGCAACTTAGGAAAATATTTAAATATCTCTTTCTGTACAGAGATAAGTACCTGATATTTACACAACATTTAGGCAGCTGATATTTACACAACATTTAATCTTGTGTTTATTTGTACTAAAATGAGAATATATAACATGTAACATTTTGCGTCTAGAGGAAAAGGTAGCGGCTTCCAGAGGAGGAGGGCTGCATCTCCCATTTCTTGTGAGGTAGAGAACAAGCAGAGCAGAGAACAAAGGGCAGCATTGCCTTTTACAGAGGTGACAATCAGAGCTTGGTTTCTTATATTACAGCTCTTTCTACTCTTACTGCTTTAATGATTCCATGGAAAATTTTGGACAAAATATCACATTACTTTATATATTCTGAGACAAAATGCTGAATTTTGCAGCTTTCCTACTGTCTTAGTTCAATTACACATACAACAGCAACAATGGGAAGGCAGTCCCATCACTCTCTGTTAGGTGAGTTTAGCAGAAGCAAATAATGTCCCCATTGGGATGTTCTGGCCTGCCATGAACAGTCAGAGACTTCAAACACAGCTCCTTAAAGAATGGACCAGATGACCTTATGAGATTCCTTACAACTTGGACTATTCCATGATTCAATCACTCACTTGAAAACTTACCAGCCTTTGGCACCCCACCACCTTATACTGTGACTACAATGGACTTGAGAATATACAGTGAAACAGTGACCATTCACCCAGCCATACACACACCCCATCCAAAAGGCTCTGTCTCTGCCCCTAAGAATCAGTAAATCAGCTTCTTACCTCTCGTGACACCAGATGTGTGGCTTGTGGGCTGGCAGCTGGTCAGTAATGTAAAACACAAATAGCAGTTCCCAAATTGCTGCTGCACAGAAATCAAGAGTGAAAATATGCAGGTGCCTTGAAAACAGATTTGTAATGGAGTCCCCTCCTGGACAGGAGCACCGGAGGCAGCAGGAATGTGGTGGCACATTAGGCTGCCATCCCCTTCCTGCCAGCCTGCAGACCCCATCCTCTTACCTTGGAGCTTTCTGTGGAGCCAGGGCAGACGTGTTGCAGGGACGTTTTATACGATCTCGCCTGCAGATGCTACAGATGCCTACTCTTTCTTCGGTCAAAAATATTTTGGCAAACCCTCTTTGGCTAAGCATTGTCTGGCAAACTGAACTAAGGGCATAATTGTCATTTGACATGACTAGATATAATTAGAAAATTTTGATGTCTTAGTGGCTATATGAATACATCTCCTATAAATAATGTGACAAGGGTGTTAAGGAGGGAATCTGGACTAGTCAAAGCACTTAAAGAACTTGGATTCAGGACTTATGGATTCTATTGCTGGCTTTCCCACCGACTCACCGCACGACCTGGGATGGATTGCTTGGTATGTCTGTGCTGCAGCTATCCCAGCTGTACAATGGGAATGTCAGCTTTTATCTTTCCCTTGTGTTGGTGTGAATCCTGCAAGAAATGCCTAAGAGGAATACATTAGGCAAGCCACTCAGAGGGAAGTAAGTATTATGAAAAGAATTTGGCGGATGTGCTGGTAGGATTCTGAAAGCAGAGGAACAATCTCTGTGATAGTGTGATAATGCTGGTGCCTGAGAGTCACAGACTGGGCAAGATAGTATAAGGGACAAATATTTTGTCACAGAAATAAGAGGCTGGGGTGCAGCTGCACTACTGGGGTGGGTCTCAGAGAGAGATGTGAGGTCACTTTTGATATATGAAGAAGAGCATACATACATTAGTGCAGATATACCAATCTGTACACTTGAAATTGCAAAAGAAGGGGAGATTCTCCAAGAAGGGTTATTATAACCCTGTGCATGAATTTTTGCTAAGGTGAGTATTGTAAGAGGTGTTGTGATTTCTGCTATGTGGATCAGTGCAGCTCAACAACAGATGTTTCTTTCTTTTCTTGGTGATGTTTTAATTAATCAGAAAGTACCCATATTGCCAGTTCAGGACAGGACCTCAGTTGTTTCCTATGTCTTTTTTTCCAAGTGTGTGCAGTGTCAATCTGCACAATAAATAAAACAAATCCTTGAGGTAAATATTTGGGCTTGTAGAAATGTATGCCATTTGATTATTCATGCCACTTTCAACAGGGAATGATTATGGATCATTACAGAGTCTACATTTAAATTCCTGCAGAAATTTCTGCTCCTGCAGAATTTGAAAACCATTCACCAACACAAAGTTCAGCTCAGACATCCAAAAGACAATCTCAGAAAAGGACTTGCAGTCCTTAGTTGATCCTTGTTTCCATTTATGCTAAGATAAATAAACCACGGACTCAGCTGAAAGCCTGTCTCCCATCTACGTGCTTCCGCTGCCAAATTCACCGACCAGGAAAAAACAGAGACCAATTCAGCCCTTCCCAGGGACACCTTCCACTATCCCAGGCTGCTCTAAGCTCCATACAGTCTGGTCTTGAACACTTTCAGAGTTTGCTCTGGGCAAACTACCAGGAACTCTGCACCCTCCTAGGGAAGAATGTCTTCCTAATATCCAATTTAAACCTGCTCCCTGTCAGTGGGATGTCATTCCCTCTTGTTCTTGTGAAAAGTCCCTCTCCAGCTCACTTCCAACCCCTTTTAGGCACTGGAAGGTTGCTAGAAGGTCTTCTTGGAGTCTTCTCTTCACCAGGCTGAACATGTCCAGCTGTCTCAGCCTGTCTCCAGAGTAGAGGATGCTCTCAAATTATCTTCATAGCATCATCTGGATTAACTCCATCAGGTCCACGTTGTTCCTATTTTGGGGGCCTCAGAGCTGAGTACAGTGTTCCAGGTGGGTCTCACCTGAGTGAGGCAGAAGAAACCCTCCCTCCCCTGCTGCCCACACTGGGGGATCAACCCAGCTTCCAGGACACATGGCTGGGACATGCTGGGCTTCTCATCCAGTAACACCCCAAAGTCCTTCTCCTCCATTCTCCACCCAACCTGTACCTTGTGCTTGGGATTACCCAGTAATACGTGCAGGACTTTAATCTTCACCATACTGGACTTTCTGAGTTCATATGGGCCCATCTCTTTTACCTCTCCAGGTCCCTCTGGGTGGCATCCCTTCCTTCCAGCATGGCACCTGCACCATGTAGTTTGGTGTCATCAGCAAGCTTGCTGAGGATGCCACTGAAACCCCTGCTCCTGTTGGCTAAAGAGATATTGAACACCTCTGGTTATGATTAATCCCTTTTACAGTGGCAACTTCACCAGACAGCCACAACTTCTTAAGTATCATGGATAGAGGCTTAGCCATTTCCTCTGCCAGTTCCCTCAGGACTTGTGGATGGATCTCATCAGGTCCCATGGACCTCTAAGTTCCTTAAATGGTCTCAAACCTGATCTTCTCCTACAGTGGGTGGTTCTTCACTCTCCTAGTTCCTGGCTTTGCATTCTGCAACTTGGATGATGTGGCTTGAGCACTTGCTGGTTAACACAGAGGCAAAAACATCACTGAGTACTTCAGCTTTCTCTAGATCTCAGTAATGAAGTAACCTTATTTCTTCCAGAGAGGGCCCAAATTTTTCCTATCTTCCTTTTGCCACCAACATTCCTACAGAAGCTTTTCTTGTTGATTTGGATGTCCCTGGCCAAGTTTAATTCTATTACAGCCTTAGATTTTCTTTGCTCCTTGGCTGCTTGAACAATTCTCTATATTCCTCCCAGGCTATCTGTTCCTGCTCCCACCCTCTGTAGGCTTTCTTTTTGCATTTGAGTTCATCCAGGAGCTCCTTGTTCATCCATGCACACCTCCTGGCATTTTCGACTGACTTCCTCTTTGCTGGGATGCATCCCTCCTGAGTTATCCCTGGAAAGTCCAAAGTCTGCTCCCCTGGAGTCCAGGTGAGCTTGTTGTGTCCCCTCCTCGCTGCCCCAAGGATCTCTAACTCCACCATTTCGTGGTCACTGCAGTCAAAGCTGACCTTGAGCTTCACATTCCCCATCAGCCCTGCCTCTACCACTTGATGCAGGAAATTATCATCACAAGTCCTGGACCAGATGGAGTGGTTCCAAAGGATGGCTAAGAACTGGAACACACCTCCTATGAAAAAAAGATGAGCTACTTCACGGAATTATAGAATCATTATGGTTGGAAAAGGCTTCCAAGATCACAGAATCCAACCTTTGACCAAACACCACCACCCTCACTAAACCACAGCATAAATGCCATGTCCAGTTGTTGGGGCTGTTCAGCCTGGAGATAAGAAAGGTTCAAGGACACCTGCTTGAG